TAGTCCTCTGAGGCCCGAGAATGGATGCAAGGTCCTCGCCTAATAGGAAAGTTCAGCACGGCTCCTCCCGGCACCATCAGACTTTCCCCTCTGGGCTGTCTTTGCTCACCTGTGCCTGTCTCGTTTGGTGCGAGGAGTAAGGCGTGCGTCCTGCTTTGTTTTCTATTGCTTTCCCAAAGTGTGAGCCAGTTTTTCCAACTCCATTGACTGAATCCCCCATGATGAGAAGCACCCCTAGGCTCCCCTGGGCATGGGTGCTCCTGTGCAGAGCCATGAGAAGCAGGCCTCTTAAGGCCTCGAGGTTCTCCTGGAAATCTGGGGCTCAACCCCCAGCCTGGTGGCCATAATCCAAGACAAAAGAAGTGACTTCTCGTCTTACAACATTCTCTATTCTCTGTGACTCCAACCTCTGCTAAGAATCATTTACTGCCAACCTGCTGGCAGTATCACACAGGTGAGTTTTGAAGCTGTATGAAACACAGAACCCTACAGTACGTGAACTAAGTCCCGGTGGCAGTGAGATGACTTTACGTCACCTTGAAGAAGTCTGGAAGGGCACAGGTGGAATCCAACCTGTTAGTCAGGTTACCGACGTGGCCTTCTTAGAAGGAGGACCCTGGCAATCTCCTCCTCTCTCTCTGCCCCCTCGCCTCCCTGCCTGCTGGGACTCTGCCACTGACCCTGAGAGCCACTGCAGCCCTGCCAAGCTTCACCGGCCTCGGATCCACACGCCTCTGCACCCACCGGCCCGCGACCTCCCTGCAGTCTGTCATTGCATGTGGCTGCAGGAGTCTGGAGAGAGACTTGTGGACTAGTATTGCACCTACGGGTCTGAGTTGGGCTGGGATGCCTTCTTGATAAGTCATTGCTTCTTGAAATAATGCTCCTTCTTATACGTAGGCGAGTACCACTGGATTCGCTTCTCTAGACACCCGCCTAACACAGCCGCCAACTCTGAATCATTACGAGGTGTCAACCGTCTACAAGGGTTGTTTTCCCTGCGTGTCTGCCACGGAGATCTTGCTCTTCTGATTGTAAGGGCAGCACATACTCATCACAAAAAGGCAACCGCTCAGGCGTGTGTCACGCGGAAACCCTCGGCACCGCATTCCTCAGGCGGCACTCTGGCACGATCACTTCCAGGCCTCTCCTCCTTAGGGAGGCGATTGCTTCTGACCATGTCCATGCCCCGGCGTCCTCCTCCCCACCGGCTCATCCACCCCCGATGTCCCCCAGCTGCCCGAGGACTCTACCTTCGTGGGTCTCTGGAGGGGCTTCCGCAGGCCTGGGTGTCAGAGGCAGCTGTGCTGGCTGGGTGGGGAGCCTCGTCACGTCGCTCCCCTGAAACGAGGCAAGAGACCAGGTCAGAGCTGGGGGTGGGGACAGCTGCCTCCCCACTACCTGCCTCCGTGGGAAGGAGGGACAATATTACATTCTAAGCTCCCATTATCAAAATCCCTGTTACAGGGCTGTCATGGGAGGGTGGGGCGGGCACAGCCATGTGACGGTGCTGGCACAGGTGGGGGCTCTGGCAGTGGGGCAGCTGCCGTCTCTATGGGAGCAGCCCGTGGGTCTTTCCTTCTCCTGCAGAGTCACAGTGGGTTTGAACCTCCCACCTCGCGGTGAGCATCACTAGGGCTCCTCCCTGTGGACAGGCATGGTGACCCAAGCCTAGCCCATGGCCACGGCCCTCCATTCGACCATCTTTGACATCAGCATGCATGCAGAAATACGGATCTCATCCTGTGGGTCACAATCGGACGCCAACATGATTTGTTTGTGGTGCAAGTTGTTCCTGCTCTTCAGGCTGCCCCGAGGCCTTTGCCACGTCCGGTCCCCTTCTTCACTTAGAGCACTCTCTTCCTCAACAGCACTGCAGGATGTTCCCCCCACCGACAACCCCGCTCCAACCTTAGAACCTGCCATGTTCCTTGTCTGTCTTCCCTAAAGCCGGGACGTAGGCACCAAGGTCAGGGTGCTGCGTGTGCTTGCTGTACTGGGGCCCCACCACTCTCAGAGGGCAGAGCTAGTGTTATAGTTCATAAATTTACATGTGTGTGCAGGAGTGTGCGCCAAAACTGTGCCTACACAAATACCTATCATGCGTTGTCTGTGTGCATGTAAATATCCTAAAATAAACATCAATCCAAACCAGAATTTGCAACTTGAAGCCATACCACCATGTTTCTATTTCTCTATTTCCCTTAAGACCCCTGTAGAGCGGAAGGGCAACCCATCCCAGGTACCTGCACCAGGAGCACGCAGCTGCAGGTGCTCAGGGCACTTCCTGTTCCTCTTCCAGGATGGAGCTTCCCTGAGGAGCAGATGCTAAAGAGCCCCGGCCCACTGTGGAAGGTCAGCTAGCTGTACCCCAGGGAAAGCTGCCTTGGGAGTCAGAAGGAGGCTGAAACCTGGGCTCTGAACTCTGCCTACTCCACCTCTACCCCCAACCCCACCAAGGCTGTTACAGGAGGTCTCCCCTAAAGAGCAGTGAGCTCAGTAACTGCTGATAACTGCTTCTAGGAACTGCAGACAGTACCCCAGGGCCCTCAGCTCTGACTATGGCTCCCGGAGGGAGGGAGGGAGGGAGGGAGGGAAGGAGGGCACCAAAGAGGTGCCCAAGGCTCAGGCCTTAGACCCCAACAGGGAAGGACTCAGACCCTTTCATGATAAAGCCCCTTCTGCTTAGGATTCTAACAAGCTGGGGGGCTCTCTCCTTTGTCTGGGGGCTCTAACTAGGGAGCTCTCGCCAAAATCAGGGTCAGTAGCCCCCCCCTTGCCCCCTCCCCCAAGGAGCCCAAGGCTGACTTGTTGTCCATGCAAATGACCAGCCCCTGGTGGGGGGGACGCAGCCATGCAGATGAGCTGGGGAGGGCCCAGAGAATGGGGCTGTTTGAAGCAGTGGCATGCTTACACAGGAGAAGCACTAAAGGAATTTGTGGAATTTGGTCTCATTGGTTCCAAATAATTAAAAAAGAAAAGAAAACTCAAAGGTTTGGAGCTCTCACCAGGAGCTGACCTATGTTATGCTGTGTCTTTATTGGAAAAGCAAATGAGCAAAGCTGACCTCCTTGCAGGTTAACAGCAGGGTGGGCGTCCCCACTGTTAGCACGTGTGGCAGCCCACTAAAGCCTGGCGTTTGGAGACCACCCAGAGGCTTCTTGGCAGGCAGGCGCTGGAGTCCTCTAAAAAACCAGCCCCCAAAAGCCCTAGGGTACACAGCACCCCACCCCTCTTCTCTGACCCGAGGGGGCTTCTTATGAGTTTGATTAGACTCTGAAGGCAGGGACTCATCTTTTCTTCACGAGAGGTGTTTCGGAAAGAACTGAGTTTGTGCTGCTAACCACGAGGCTGCCGCTCTGCCATCTACCTCCAAGGCCCGTGGGGTAGTTGTACTCAGCCGCAGGAGGCAGCACCAACTGGATGGCGCCCACCAACACACCAGCCTCCTGGAGGCCATGCCTTCCAGGGCAGGGACCCTGTTTGCTGTGCTCACCATTCCTGTCCAGCCTCTGCACTGCCTGGCACACAGGGCAGTGCTGGCTGCAGCAGGGAGGAAGCACCCATTCCTCACGAGCCTCACGCATCCGATACTGCCCCTCGCTTTTTGAGTGGCTGTTTCTGGTGCAAGTTACTAAGCTCAAGAAAACATGTATGTGAAGCTATACTAGGAAGAAACAAGAATCCAGGTGTAGCCGTTTTGTGCAATTTTAACTTGAAAATTGTCAGGCAGACAGAGGAGCTGGGGGGAAAGGGGCAGCCTTTGGGGCACTCAGGCAGCCGGCAGGACAGCCGAGGCTCCTGCCAGGCGTGGACACACTTCCTTGAGGGCTCATTCATAAACACTGTCAGCTCCGGGAGCCGTACATCCCATCTGGACTCCCTGTCTGCCCACCTTCTGCAGGGGCCGTCGCAACGACAACAGCACATTTACAAAAGGAAGTGGCTGTGCCGGGAGGCCCACCAACATGGACCTTGTTCTGCATGATTTCCTCCTCGGGACCGCAGCCATAACGCAGGCAAGACTGCAGACGGCCGTCATAGAGGCTCCTGGCCACAGGGATGATACTGCATGGCAAGACGGGCAGCAAGGGGACCCCCAGCCCACCCTAAGGCACCTCGAGAGTCCTGGAGATGGACATCCAAAATCCCAGTCTTGGAAACCCCGTGGAGCTCCGGCTGATTCTGACTTCCATGGGAATTGCCAGGAGGTGGCGTTGATGCCACTGCCCCCTTGAACTGGCCGTCCCTCACAACCTTCTAACCCTCTCCCTGACGTGTGGTTGACCTACACAGCTATGCGCCCAGCCCGAGGCTCAAATCTCCATCCAACTTTGGCTTTGAGAAGCCCTGTCTGCATGGTCTGTCTGCTCCTGGACTGGGTCAGACAGCCATCCCCAAAGATGGAGAAAGGTTCCGCTTCCCAGTAGCCCTCAGTGGCTCAGGAGAGGCATGTGACCCGGAGCCGGCCAGCGGGACACAAGCGGCTGTGATGCATGTTCTCTCGAGACTTATTCGGCAAACTCTTGGGCACTCTGCTCCCTGACTCTCTGTACCCGCCATACCACACTGGGGCAGATCCTGGCCTGGAGCAGCCACTCTGAACCTTGAGAGGAAGGCCACCATGTGGAGAAGAAGCAAAGTCCCTCAGCCAGCCCTGGGCAGCCCGCCTCCAGCCTTTGACAATCCATTGATGTCCATCTTGTTCTCATACCCTTGTTAGGGGGATGTTTGTTACAGCCGCTTCCCCAGGACCACAGCTGATACATTCGGAGCACAGACCTGCCACGCGTGTCAGAGCAAATGCATCTTACTAAGACATCAAGCAGAGGACATACCTCGGGAAGAGCATGTGACGCAAAAAAATCCTCCTCTTTTGGTGGCGGGGACAAGGATGGAGCCACACAACTGTCCAGCCACAGCTAGAGGGAAAACCAGCAGCGTTAGCCTGGCCTTTCTCTCCCGCCCTCACTCCCCTCCTGGAGACGTGCTAGCTCAGGACTGGCAGCGCTACTCTTCCACAGTCAGTCCCATGCCTGCAGGGCCTCTGAGTAGACTTACAACAGGCGTCCGCCTAGGACCTGGAGGCCCCGGGCCTTCTCAAAGTCTGCGAGCCCAGAGCCACAAACCGCTTCTGTACAGGGAGGACCGAGGCTTCTTGACTAAGTGCAGGCTCAAGGTAAACACCCCTTTCCCAACTGGACAAGACCATCCACCACACCCAAGACTCACGTCCGTGCCATGCTTCCGTGTGGCCTGGGAGGCCAGAGACTTGACTTTCTCCCTGTAGAGCTGGGCGGCCCGGCTGTTGTACTTGGCATTGGTGTCACTGGTGGAGCAGCCGTGTTGGTGGAAGAAGGAAGACTGGAGGACAGTGCCGAGGAGAGAAAGGGTATGTGGACTCCAACCGGGCAACCGGACCTCAGGGGACATTTGCAAATCCTACCCCAGGGACCACCCAGGAGCCCGGGCGGCACAGCGGGCAAGCGTTGGGCTGCTAACCGCAGGGCCAGCAGTTCCAAGCCACGGACCACTCTGCGGGAGAAAGATGAGGCTGCCTACTTCCTCAGAGGGACCGTCTCAGAAACCCACAGGGGCAGTTCTCCCTGTGCCATGGGGCCGCTGTGAGTTGGCAGTGCGCTTGGTTGTGATGAGCAAGTGAAGGCCCAAGCCTTGGAAACAAATCGACATTTCCTTGCAGAAAGGGGATTCTCCCCAAAGAGGCGAAAACAGTAATTGGTTAAGACTGGGCAAGGACCGTGGACAAGACACGGAAACCTCCGGCTTGCTGTCACCACTCTGTCGTTCGAGGCATGTGTCTGGGAGAGGCTTCCTGGGACTAGGACTCCTCCCTTTTCATGCACATTTTGGAGTATGTGGACTCGGGATTTTGGACACCCTCACACTGGCCTTGTTCCCGACTAAGCACAACAGAGGGACAACGAGGAAACAGTGTGAAACCAGGAGAAAGGTGGGCCCCAAGTTCCTCATTGGGGTCTCGGCACAGAATTAAAGCTGGCTGGCTCAGAATCTCTGCTATCCACGCCACAGGTGCTGTGGACTGAGCAGGAGGGTCTTGGAGGGCCAGTTCAGGTCAAATCCTCACTGCCAGGTCCTTAGTCACAGTCATTGTCCCTACTTTACACCAAGGAACCCTGGAGCACAGGGAGACTCAACCACTTACCCAAGGGCACAGCGGGAGTGTGGGGCTGGGCTGGCGTCACCCAAGCAGAGGCCCCATTCTTTCACCCACCACTGCTAAGCAAGCGCCTGGCCGCTACCCTGGCTTGGCCTGCAAACCACGTCACTGGTCTGAGAGGAGAAAGCTGCTCTCTCAGGTTGGGGAGGGGGCTCCCCACCCTGGGAAGACTTAGCTGTGGGATCAGCATAGTGGGTTTAGGAGCGAGTTTATGCCTATTGTGATAATGGGGGGTGGGGTGCTTGAAACACCTAAGACGTGTACCCTTCACGGAGGCACATGGACAACGCACAGTCGTAATACCCTGTGGCCCTCTGAAATTCATCCTAGCCCAACCAACCCTTACTCTTTAGTATTTACTTCTCTCATTAGGGAGAAATGAAAATTACACTTCAAAGAATTTCCCTCCTGAATTTGAGTTTGCCAGTGGTGGCCAGCGCAGGAGCAAGAGTGAGAAGTGGGTGAGAACCAGCCATCCGAAGGCCTGTGGGACCGGACATTGACACAGGCCCTTCCCTCTGAAGGACTGAACTCAAATCAGACGGCTTTTCAAGCTTGGAGAATTCAGACCATCTATCCCAAACAGCCTCACATGACCCACTCCACCTCTCATGCCCTGATGACTCATCCCAGCAATGCCCAGGATAAGGAGGTACACAGCTGAGGCTGACAAAAGCAATCTGGAATAAGGACCAATCAGGATGCAAGAATAAGAGCCAGTGGGAAAGCAGAATAAGGACCGTGGTAAGACAATGGGGTCCTGCCACCCAACCCTAAAAACCCCAATGTCATCTCCCTAGACCAATGGTTCTCAACCTTCCTCATGGCGCGACCCTCTCATAGTTTCTCATGTTGTGGTGGACCCCCAACCATAAACTTATTTTCATTGCTATTTCATCACTATGATTTTGCTACTGTCACGAATCAGGTGACCCCCGTAAAAGGGCTCTTCGTCCCCCCGCCCTCCCAAGGGGGTCATGACCCACAGGTTGAGAACCACTGCCCTAGACGTTGTCTTCAAATCTGGTCTCTGAAATGATAAATCAGCTGAACATTCAAAAACTGAATTGTACCACTGATCACCAAGTGGACCACTAACAAGGTTTGTCACTGTATTCGAAGATCTATAGACGAGGTGCCTTTGGGGGTTGGGGTGTTAATTTGCTGGTTTAGTCAGCTAAATACTGATTCAAAAGCAAGCAGCTGGCAGCCTTCCAATCTCCACACAGAAAAGTCACCCTCTCCGGTCATGTGATCATTTAATCCAGTCTCCCAAACAGCCTGGTTTGTATGCCTGTCTAAAACTTACGATCCATTTCTCATGCCCTTATTTGTACGTCTTAAAACCACTTCTTCAGAGGAGGCCTCCCCTCACTGTCGCATGGTCACCCCACATTCATAGGCATTCATGCAATGCTCTCAGGGAATTTCAGTGGGAGTTCATAACTGAAGCGGGGAGGAGGGGAGTCTGTCTGTCTGTCTGTGAGAACTTGGGTAAACCAAGGAGGGCAGTCCGCCCTCGGGGAAAACACTGAACATGATTTAGATAGACTCCCAATGGGAGAATGTGTCCAGTATGATCTTGCTAATCGTGCATGTTGGACTGAATTTCTTTTCAGCCCTCGGTGACCCTGACTACCTACTGCCGGCCACCTGTGCTTTAGATTTCGTCTTTAGCAGGTGCACAGCATTCTTCAGAGGCCACGGCAGAACTGGGTGGTTTGGACACCTCACTTGAAGGAAGCGGGCTTTACCTTAACCACCTTAATCTGTTGCAGATGAAAGGAACGGAAATGCTCCGGTAGGCCTGAGAGCTGAAGCGTAGAGCCCGGTGAGAAGGAAGCAGCTGCCGGCCTGCGTGGTTTGGGGAGTCAGGGGACCTGGGTTTTGCATTTTGTGCGAGGCTGCCCGCTAATTGGCGATGGAAGACTACCATGTACTTGCTATTTCCGTACTGTTTGTGACATCTGACTCCTGCAGTCTGGCCTCCGTGAATGAGTGTGTGCCTTGTATCTAACCTCACTGCTTTCTGAAACCATGTTCAGAGACCTCTAGTCGTGAACACTCCACATGGTTTACTCTGAAAAGCTTTCCTATAGATGCATACTGCCCTTTTCTCAACAGTACTTTAAATCTCTACCACTGGCCAGATTAACAGTACTATTATTACAACTACCAAATGTCTCGTGGAGTTAGTTCAAGTGTTTCTCAACAAGCTGATAATGACGTCCCTGAAGTGGGCCAGGGACACACACGGGTGTGAAGGGGGTTTTGAGTTCGTGCTTAAACGTGAGTCCTAAACTAAGACGTGGCCCGACTCAATCCTTGCCCTCATGAGGAGATCACTGACCATGTGGGTGCCACAGCAAAGTGTATTGAAGAAATCAGATGGGGCCCAGCTTTCAGAAAGAACAGCATCCGGGTCTTAAAGGCTTGTCTTAACACAAGCAGCCGTCTTGGATTGAAGCTTAAATTCTGAGCACCCCGGTTTGCAGACGGCCATGGATGACAGTGACAACCCAAGGGCTCCATCAAGTCTCCTCTGATCATAAGCAAGGGCGCAGACAACCTTGGCCTCTGAGGGAAAGCAGGGGAAGTGGGTCAGCTCCCCTTTTCTCCAGCCCGCCCTGGGAGGGGCAGTCTCTCTGAGGGGCTTGCCTGGGTGTGTCCTTGATGGAGATCACCACACGGGGGGCAGGGCAGGAGGTCACTCAGTCATGAGTTATGTCCTCTTAGTAGCTCCCTGACTGCCTTGGTCAAGAGACCTTGGACCAATCTTGCAAGCTCCTCCAGCTAACGACCGTGCATCCCGCTTCCTCGTCCCGCCTGTAACCCTGATGTATTGCTCTGCCACCATTCACAATTTGTGATAGTTCCTTTCGGTCCATGACGCATTTAACTAGCATCCTCCCTGTGACCCCTCACACACCACTCTGACCACATGCTAACGGCCTCCCTCATCTGGGTGATATGCCTGTGTCTTTGTCCCGTAATAAATGCCCTCCTTAAACTATATTTGAGATTGGGGTCTCTTTTGTACCCTAAAGCAAGTGTTAGCTAAGTCCATATGGAAGGAGCACATCAGCCTGGGTGATCCAAGGATTGTAAATAAAAAAATCCAAGATCATAGGTGGGAATCATATTTGAACTCTGTCAATTGTAAACTCTGAGCGTCCAGTTTGCAGAAGGCTAAGGGTGACAGTGAAAGTTCAACACCCATTTGCTGAGTCCCTGTGCAGATTCAGTCTCCACTACATTCCCTCAGGCCACTGACCAGGGTATGAATGGGCTTGCCCTTGGAGTGCTCTGCAAAGTGGATTAGTGTAGCTATAACTCAAACTCCAAACTCCCTGCCATCAAGTCATTTCCGACTCCAAGTGCTCCTAGAGGTGCTCTCGTGGTGCAGTGGTTACAAGTTGGGCCGCTAATCACAAGGTCAGCAGTTTGAAACCACCAGCTGCTGTGAGGGAGAAAGACAAGGCTTTCTAATATAAAGATTTACAGTTCTGGGGAACACAGGGGCAGTTATACCTTGTCTTAGAGGATCACTATAACTACAGATATAGTCAGGTTAAAATTTAACATTTTAAATAAATAAAAAAATTTTAGATTAACATATTATTATTTTCCATTTTGACTTATTTTTAATTTGTTCTACTTTCTATGATCTGCTTTCGTTTGGGTTAAGATATGTCTGCGTTTTACTTTGCTGCTATTGCTGGGGGGTTTTGTATGATTTTCTTTATATAAAACCCAAGATAGGTAAACCACCGGGATAGTAACTAGATTAATAGCTCCTCAGGGTTAGCACAGGGGAGGCTGGTGGGCAGCAGGGAGCTAATCGTACTGGGTCCCAGAATGAAGGAGCTGCTCTACAAGTGGTTGTGGTGATGGTCACAAAGCTGTTCACATCTTTGAAACATTGGGGGAAAGTCTGTTGTTGAAAAGCAGGCTCTGGCTCCCCCATATTACTACAGCCTGGTCCGTTTTTCAAAGTGCTTATCACCCAGAATTCTTTTCTCATTTCTGTAGTCATTTCCCGGCCGTCTCTGCTGGGAAAAGAGGACCCTGTATGGCTGGTTTGTCACTGGATCCCCAGTCCCAAGCCCACAGGTGTCCGGGGTGTGTACCGAACAGCTGAGTACATCAGTTCAAAGCCCACCAAGCTCTTTTGTCCCACCTCCAACATGCCCGGAGGCCGTGGCCTACTGGGTGAGATTCCTGGGCTAGAAACTGCTGACAGAGGTACAACAAAAGGTTGCAGACACGCATTGGGCTTCTTGACCAGTGTAACCAACTGCAGTGTGGGTCTCGAGGCATGGAGGAAAAGGATGGGGCGCAGGTGAACTTACCGCGTTCGCATTTCCTCCAACTTGCATGCACCTCAGCTGAAACCAAGACCAGTTCGAATCCAGCTCTGTCGATCTAAATGGAAAGTGGATTTCTACGTGTTAACACTCTGCTTCCCTGGGAGCAAGGGATCAACCCCCCAGCTTCCTTCACAGTTCCTGGGTCTGCAGGACCCTAGAGAATTCCAAGTTTGTGTGATCGGGATACAGGCTGCTAGACGTGGGGACCCCATGTGGGTTCCCTCCAGGCTCCTTCCAGGTTGACCCAGGCAAGCCCAACAGCGCACTGATCCACGTGGAGAAACGTCACCAAGTTGTATGTAACCCGCTGTGAGTGAGAGACGCGTAGGCAGGCACTCCAGCAGCCCCACCGGGCTGTGGGCTGCGTCCTGTGCCCTCACTAGGATGGCTGGCTGGAGTCAGGGTAGCAGACGTGCTACTGGCGTGGCGTGGCGTGGTGTGACTACAGTCATGCACAGAGGAGACCAGGCCCTCGGGGCTACCTGAGCATTGTGAGCTCTCCGGCCACCAGCTGTCACCTCCTCTGGAGCTCTCTTCTAATCCTGACGTCACATGCCTCTTCCTGTGGCCTCGCTTCTCAGGTGACTTGTTCAGCATACATGGAATGAGGGTGGTGAAAGACTACAGCCCTGACGCACACCTTTCCTCATTTCCAATCACTCAGCACGCTCTTGTTCAGTTCAAACGACGGTCTCTTGGTCTGCGTTCAGGTTCTGTGTGAGCACAGGAAGTGTTTTGAAAGTCCCATTCTTCTCCTCCATGGTATCAGTCATTAGGACTCATTGAGTCAAATGCCTTTGCATTATCAATAGAGCACAGGGCAGCATCTTTCTGGAATTCTCCGCTTTCAGCCCAGATCCACCCGATGTCAGCAATGATATCCCTTGTTCCATGGCTACTTTTGAATCCAGCTTGAATTTCCTCCTTGGAAACTTAGAATTTCTGACCACTGGGCATAATGATCCCATGCTCCTTCATTGAGTAGATACTCAATTGCTCTTTCTCTGGAAGAACTGGCATGGGCGCCACTTCCCATGAGCCCCCAGGCTGAGTCCTGTGCCCCTCCAATCCTCTGCAATGGGGCAGAGAGAGGTTAACAAGCAGCTCCAGAAAGAGCTGAGAGTGCAAGTCTCAACCCTGCCCCTTGACCTCCGTTTGGCGGGAGCTTGGGAGAGGCCTTTCGTCTCTCTGTGCTTTCTCTCCTTGTCTGTGGATACCAGATGAGCGAACAAACCCCTGACGTGCTTAGGACAGTGTCTGGCCCATGATACACGGCAACTGTCGCCATCCCTAGCATTGCCGTGGCAACACTACCACACCGCTCCCCTCTGTGTCCTCCACTAAGTGGCGAGGTCAGAGGGGGCCAGCGCTGTGCCAGTTTCCTGTGAAGGGCCTGGCACGGGGCCTGGCACACACACAGAATAGCTCCTCCGACAGGAGCGGGTTAAGTTTGTCCTTGAATGGAGCCACAAGCATTGCCACTTGCCAATCTTCCTTCCCACCACTTCTCTGTCTGTCTGTCTGTCTGTCTGTTCTACTGTGGGGGCTGGTATGGTGCTGGCAGCCACACCGGGGGTATTTCAAATGGCAGCAGGGTCACCCAGGACCTCAGGACTTCGAGCAGACTGTGAAGAAGGCTCGGCCCCTGTAAACCGTAGGCGCGGCGCAGAGACACGGTCTCAAACAGAAGGACAGCTGTGAGGGCGGTGCCACACTGGGCGGTGTTTCAATCGACGGTACATCAGGTCGCTGCGAGTCGGTACAGCCACAGTCCCCCTTCAAGGAGCCCTGATGGTGCAGGGGTTAAGCATCCGGCTACCCCTGGAAGGCTGGCAGTTTGAACCCACCAGCTGTCTGCTTTCATAACGGCCGGTCGGCAGCGGGGCAGTCCGTCCTACTCTGCCTGCAGGGCCCCTCGGGTCTGATGTGACTCGTTAGCAATGGCCGCCTTGTTGTCCCTCTTTAACTCTCGGTCCTCGGCGCTCAAGCGCACAGCTATGTCAGACAAAGGAATGAACCGAGAGGAGGAGTGGTGTGAGGAAAACCCCAAACACAAGCCCACTGCCCGCGAGTCGATGCCAACTCATAGCGACCCCTGTAAGACAGGCGGGAACTGCCCCCGTGGGTTTTCCAAAACCGTCACTCTCTGGAGCAGAGAGCTCATCGCTCTCCCTTGGAGCCACCGGTGGTGAGCCGCCCAACCCTGTGTCACCAGGGCTCCTGAAGGTCCTGAAGGATCTTTTAAAAATTAAGAAGCCACCCCTTTCTTGAGATGCATTTCTTACAAGTGAGCTGGGCTGACCGGGGAGCTCTCTACGGTCACACTGGATGGTCCATAGGATGTCTGATGTCTGCACTTAGGCTGTCTATCCCAGCAACTCGGCCACCTCAACCAGAGCCCTGCATCACCTGCCAGCTGGTCCTAGGAGAGGAGGGGCTCACGTGGGTCATTCATTTCTTCTTTCCTGGAAAC